TATTAAGGCCCCTATATTACATTGATCCACGGGCCGGGCTCGTCAAAAACAAGACGTGGTCAGTGAAGCGCCTGGTGTATCGCGTAGGAAGGTCGGGGCTGTTAAATCGAATTGATGCTGAGGGTTTAGGGTTTAGGGTTCAGGGTTTAGGGAGTTGTTCGAAAACCGACCAGCTTTTGGAGCCGGTCAGCAGGGTTTGTAACTGCTTCCATAGAGGAGGCCGGCGTGAAATTCGGATGCGCAGCACTGAGGTGAAGGATCTTTGGAGCCACATGAGCACCCGGGACGTGGCTTGGCCGGTTTGGTGCCTCATGCAGGTCTAGGGAGCTCAAGCACCTCTCTCTGCATAAGGTTGGCACTGCAATACAGCTGAAGGTCACCCTAGTTAGAGTCACCCCCTGTCACCAAGATGGTTCGAACCGTTCTCAGTAAGCCCGGCCAGGTGTTTTTGTTGGCAGCCAGCGCTTGAACTGTCATGAAATGCTGTAGCAAAAATGAGACATCGATTGGGAATGCTCATGGCAAAGTTGTGGCAAAAAGGAAGTCTGTATTTTGAGACTAGTACTAAGCGCCAAGACGGCTACTGCCAGCTGCTATGTGTGATGCCGGCGACGTAGACGACATAGACGACGACAAAGATGACGATGTCGCCCGCGACGACAACACGACGACACCGATGACAACGTCGGCGATTAGTGGTGCCACTGTACTCCGGGCTACGTCACGGCAGCCGCTGCTGCTGCTGCTACCACTACCACTTCCACCTCCACCACCACCACCACCACCACGGCCACAGCCACAGCCACAGCCAAGGACACGACCAAGACCACGAGTACAACCACTACCACCAGTGCTACTACTGCTACTGCTGCTACTACTACTACTACCACCACCACCACCACCACCACCACGGCGACGACTACTACTACTACTACTACTACTACTCCTCGTGCTGTTGATACCTACATCGTTACATCGCCTATACTGCTGCCACTGCTGCTGCTGTTTCTGCTAGTGCTACTGCTACTCCACCTGCTCCTGCTCCTGCTTCTGCTGCTGCTGCGGCTACCGCCACTGCTACGATGGCGAAGTATCCATCAATGGATTTAGCCTGTTGGGAATGGCATGCCCTTTGAAATAACATCCCACCCACCTCAAAGATATTTCGACCATGAAGACCCCGAACCCCCCACCTTACACCCTAAACCCGTAAACCCTATGCCCCTGAACCCTTAGACTTCTAAACCCTGAACCCTTAAACTTCTAAACCCTAAACCCGTAAAACACAAAATCCTGCAGCCCTCGAGTCTGAGCTCAGGTGAAGCTGACCGCCGTCACGCTTGGATGCATGGTGGAGGCCCGCCGTTGATCTGTCTGTTCAAGGTTTAGGGTTTAGGGTTTAGGGGGCAGGAGGTCTGTTTAAGATTCCGGGTGTTCAGCTTCAGGCTACAGGACTTCGTGCTTGTGGTTTCAGGGATTGGAGCGATCTGAAGGTGTGGTCCAGAAGACTAGTACTGAAGATTCAGTGTAGGGGGCTTAGTTGCCAGGGTTTCGTGCTGAAGGTGAAGGGTTTCTGGTTCGAGATTTGGGGGTTCGGGGCTCTAAACGGTGCTTCAGGCCTGCAGTATCAAGACCTCTACGGTCTCAGCCCCAGCCGTTGTCCTCGCAAAGCCCCACCCACCTCCACTTTCAACCCGGACCAACCTCCAAAATGGTCTAGAGCCCCCGAAGCCGTGGATGCCAAACAGTGCCCTAAACCCTAAACCCCTTGATTGCAGGCACTCGTGGCCAACAACAATGTTGGAGAGGCTTGGCAGATCGTCACGGCCCCGGGTATTTTTGGATGATTGGCTGCAGGGTCTGGACCTTAAGCCATAAACTACAAACCCCTGCGCATGGAACAACTATTCGCTTTAGATCTGAGCGATTCCAACTAAATCGATTTGCCAGCAAGCGCGTCATAGCACTTCTGATGAGGTGAATCTCTAAATCCCTAAACCGTAAACCCTAAACCCGAAATCCCTAAATCCCTAAAACCGTAAACTCTAAACCCGAAATCCCTAAACCCTAAACCCTTGAACCCTAGACCCGAAACTTTCTTGAAACCCTAAACCCTGCTGAGGTGAATGATATCTGGGCCAAGGATGAGCAGAGGGCCCCGGCCTCGGAATCTCGAGGGAGGCTTTTAGGAGGCTGCAGGGCCTCGGGGCTCAGGGGTTCAAGGGTTGAGGGTTTAGGGTTTAGGGGTTTAGGGCTTAGGGTTGGGGGGTTTAGGGTTTAGGGCCGTCTAGGGTTTAGGACGGCGCTTTTTTGGGTCCTGGGAGTTTGGGGCTTAGGGTTGCAAGGGGTGTTCATCACAGCTTTTGTGGGTTCTGGAAGTGCTTAGGTTAAGGGTTTAGGATTTAGGGTTTTCAGGGTAAACTTCTTCTTAGCCACCAATCACGGCCCCTTCCGTTACGAGGCAAGGGGTGCCTTTTCCTGACAAAGTGGTTTAGCATCTTGATCCCACAGGCCAAAACCCTGGTTGCCAAACCCATTTTTGAACTCAGAAAGTTTTCTGGACTCGCAAAAGCCAAGCCTCCGACTGCATGCAGCACCGGAAGCAAAGACACCGCAATTATAGCTATGCTGCGCAGGATTTGGTGAACACTGTCATCTATTCCACCATCGTGAAGGGCTTCACCATGTCTCGGCAGCATGACAAGGCACCGCCAGTCCTTCGTGCGTCTTTTCAGGATCAAGGGTTTAGGGTTTAGGGTTTAGGGTTTAGGGGTTTAGGGTTTAGGGTTTAGGGATGCTGAGGATCAAAGCCTGTGCCGCATTGGGAGGAGGGTTGCTGGAGTTTAGGGTTTAGGGTTTAGGGTTTAGGGTTTAGGGTTTAGTTGTCCCAAAACACCCGATGTGTGCGGCACAGCCCGGCGTACTAAGCGACAGTCTCAGGCCTTCAAACGGGAGTTTCCGAAAATTAGGGGTAGCTTATTTTGGGGTCCTTATATTAAGGATCCTATTATTTAGGGTACTATGTTAGGGTCCCCTATTTTCAGAAACCCCCAAATAGCAAGCTAGTTCAAAACGCTTCGCGTTTCAAGTAAGGTTCGAGACTTCGGGCTTCAAGGTTTACGGTTCAGGCTTGAAGGTTGGGGCTAAGGCTGGAAGGTTTGCAATCTGGGGATGTTTGGGGTATACATGTTGAGGTGCTTAGGGCCTACCTCAGGGTGTAGGGTTCAGGATGCAGGGCATTCGTTGAGAGATCTGATTTTGAATGAGCTCCAGGTGGTGGCAATCTACAAGGAGATGAAGGCGCTACAAAGCCTGCAATTAGGGTTTAGGGTTTAGGTCGTGCAGCTCCCCCGCTGGGATTGCTTGCATCGAAGATTGGGCCAGGCCCTGTTTCTGTTGGCTCAGGGCGTTTCAAGATAATTAGGTTGTTAGGTTTTCGTGAGATAAGCTTCACGGATTCCGGGTCTTGCGTCTCCAGGGAGTCGTGCCACGAGCCCCTGGGCTTTTAACGGGCCAAGCTGCGAAGTCCAAGAGCACGCGTAGATGGCCTTCGGCTTGGAGTACCAAGAGACTGGGTGCATTGATTCGTCCGAAGGCCTTGACAGCTTGAAGGCTTGCACGATCGGTGGGACCTAAACCCTATAACCCTATAACCCTGAACCCTATAACCCTATAACCCTAAACCCTAAAACCCTATAAGCCTAAACCCCGGAACCCCGTGGGGCTTGAAGGTCCGGGTTCGTTTTGTGCTGATCTGGGCGCATCGCCCACCTGTGCAGGAGCGAGGAATCCCCTGCAACACCATCACGTGCCCCTGCACGGGCATATGATCCAGGAAGTTGTCAATCAACTTCCGAGGAATCAGGAATAGCCACAAGTTATACTCTCGACCATAAACCTAAACACTAGACCTTGCAAAATAAAGTCACAAACCCTCAATCAACCCATGCCTTAAAGGGAGCCGCCGGAATAGGTTTAGAGTTTTGGGAAGACATCGGGGCAGGCATCGTGTGCCCTGTGTCAGCTCCTTCGTCCTTGCTTTGGGTTGCCACATGAACTATGACAGAGAATCAGAGAACCCTACATAGTCTATACACTGCTCAGTCAGAGTGGTTGCTCGGCAGTCCTACGGTCAAGCGAGGATCATCGTGCCCTGGGGTTTAGAGCTCAGGGTCTGGGATTCCAGTTAAGGCATCCGTTGAAATGATTCGGATTCAGATCAAGGCTGGTTGGCGGTCCGGGCGGTGAGCCACAAACGCTGCGCCTTTCTGGTCCCCAAATGTTATCTGAAGTCTCTGCATGCTACTATCTTGGGTTGCTCAAGGCCTTACATCTTGCCCATGAGTGCCATGCAGGTACAACACCATGTTGAATGCGCTTGCCCGCCAGATGCCGAGATATACCAAGGAAGAAGGAAGTCAATAAGAAAGTGCCTGCCGCTGTGACGAGTCGCAGTGAGCAGTTTGACAGGAGTCACCATTGGGCTCTGTCCCCGAACTGTGCTAGTGGTATGAAGGAAGCTTACTGGCCCCAAGCCCAAAGCCACAGCCAAGAGACTGACTGCGAACAGTCGTGAAGCTATGCAACGCAAGGGATTGTTGCCCCTTGCCGGCTCGAACACTCCTGTGCGTGTCTCGACTGTGGTGTGCATACTTTCTATTTCACGTCTCTGCCAGGTCTGATGCGTCCTAAACCCCAAACCTCGCGCCCTTTACCCTCTCAAGTCTTATAAACGCTCGAACTTGAATCGTCGAAGCCTGATCGTGGATTGAATTACGGTTCTTAGGGAGGCGTGTGCAAGCTTTGTTTGCAACTCATGGTCTTGTCTTTTCTCATCTTATCTTAACCTAACGTAACTGGGTCCTTGTTGGATACAAGTTTACATTTTGGATATAATAAAAGCCCAATGAGGATTGAAAATGACCCTAAACACTAAACCCTAAACCCTACACCATCATTTTAAATATAGCCCCCACAGGGAAGCAGGGAAGCTCTCCCAGGATGCGGCATGATGCATGAGGTCCCTCAGCTTCTGGAGGAGCTCCTGGGGTCTCCTGGGCTTCAGGTTGGGTTTAGGAGTTTAGGGTTTAGGGTTTAGGGTTTAGGGTTTAGGGTTTAGGGTTTAGGGTTTTGGGTTTGGGTTTAGGGTTTAGGGTTTAGGGTTAGGGGTGTCCACACATCCTTTGAGAAGTCTCTGGGTTTCTGAAGCCTTACCAAAGGAGCCTAAAGAATTACCTGACCTATACGGTTTGGGGGTTCCTTCGTAGAATTAGAGTATAGTATACCCAAAACCTTATTCTAACTATAAAGGCCCCTATACGAACTAGCACAATCCGGTATTTGAGTCGTTTGCTTTGCTTTTTTGCGGGGCGGGAGGTCGGGGTAGGGGAGGGGCGGGGGGGGGGGGTGCAGTTTGCCGCTTCTAGATATTCCACCGTGGTTTTGCCCGTCGGCCAGCCGCGATGGCTTCGGGGAAGCTCAGGCTTCAAGACCACAAGGTAGAGGCCACAGGCAGGCCGAAAGCCCTGAAAACGCTGCATCTGCTGTGAAGCACCCTTGTCAGGACATGCGTGACAGCAACCCACCTGTGCAGCCCGACATCGTTACGTACTCGACGATCGTTAAGGCATGGGCCCACTTCCTCGAAGGAGCTGGCTTTGCGAAGTTTAGGGATTGCAGCCTCACAAGAGCATCTTTCTTCTAGTAGCAGGTCATGTAACATCATACGGTAATCGAACGATTGTGATATCGGGTCACATCAAGTCACATCTTCCTGTCTTCGCAATCTCCACTCATAATGTTAAACCCACGGCGATCGGCTTGTTGCGGGGCCTGCTGCCGAACGCCAGTTCTTTGACATCCCGTGCAAAGGAATTTACCAGGGCTTCCCCTTGACTTCTTCGATCCGTCCGTTCCGGCTTCCTAAATGATCCGAGGTTTTGGAATGCTACATTTTGCGAAGACCATCCTTCCTTGTTTTCTTTAAGCCTTGGTGTCAGCAGGACTGGTATATTAGCAGTATGAGCAGCAGTTATCCTGGGTACATGTAGGAGCAAGCAGCGTCTGATTGCCGTATGCATCGTTGTTAGCGTGGTACTATAGTTGCAAAACATATAGCAGCACTAGATGCTGGTCAAGTTCGTAACACGGCATGATGACCGTAGATTGTAGGCTTCGATAAATGAGCACTGCATACAGAAAAAGCATGGCAGCTCATCGCGCCATTGCCCTTCAAGCCCTGCGCATGCGAATGATGTTGTGCAGGGGTATTGCATGGCTGGCGAAGTGGCGGGGCACTCAGCGCGCATATACAACACAGTCCCTGAACCCTAAACCCCAAATCACAGCACAAGTCCTATACCACACGTTCCTACCTGGCTCGGTCGAGATGCTAACTTGCCAGTTAGTATGTCACCAGGTGCATTCGCAGTCTTTCCACTTCCAGCGAGGTGTAGTGTACTCGTGCAGACTTGACTCTACCAGAGCGTTAGGAGAAGCTCCTGCACGCGACTACAGGAGACCCCAGAAACCATGCGTCCGATATGCCTAAAGCTGAATGAAAACCCTAACCCCCCAGGTACCTACTATATAGGGCCCTAGGGGCTCTAGTACCCTATATAGTAGACACCTGGGGGGTTAGGAAAACCAAAAGACTGAATGAAGGCCCAAACTGGCAGGGCTCAGCATGCGCAGTTGTTGCTGAAGCAGTCTGCAAGCCCAAGACCCGAAGCTCAGGACAAGGCCTTCGCGCTCCTCAGGGAGATGAGGAAGTGCAACGCCGTGACTCCCGATGAAGTGCTCTACAACAGTCTGCTGGTGCCCGGATTGCATGCAGCAGGATCTTCTCAACCGTTGATAGGGATGCTGTTCGGATGGCTATCCTTGTACTCAAATTCCGAGCAAAAGGTTCTGCAGCAGAGAGCCCCGAACCGAGATCGTAGCCGAAGATGCAGTCCGTAGACTTCAATTTTCTGAAACTGCTGGAAAGTTGTGGTTGCAGATTTCGGGACTGCGCAACTCATCTCCTGTTCCCGGAGCTCTCTGACGACGGTTACACATCGCACCGGAAAGTGAGGCAAGCTTGAAAGCGGTTCTAATCAGAACCTGAGTGCCTTAGTGCAACGTGGTCGAGGCTTAACTACGCAATACAACTTAAATCTTGCTAATTGGGCTGCGGCCTCGTTTCTCAGACCCCAAAGTGCACGAGTCATTCAATCTCCCTGGAGCCATCATCTGCAAACCCTCTGGGCGAAACAGAATCGAAAGTCCGAGGCATTAGACCCTCCTACTGCAAAGTTTACCCAGATTAGATCAGTGAGATTGAGATCCGCCTTTTTGCCAGCTCGCTACATTTGTTTTCGACCCGAGTCCCTTTCTTCTGTTAGCAGACCGGTCCCACGTCTCTGCAGAGGTTCTACAAGGGTTCTGTGGGGTTACAAGCTTTTCGTCGAAATTGTTCTGGGCTCTCTCTCCTGCGGAGTGTAGAGTCATGTTTGTGTCCCAATCACCTAAGGCTAAGCTCTCACTCCTGAAGCCCTCAACCCTAAACCCCAAAACCCAAAACCCTAAACCCTAAACCCGAAGCCCTCCAGCCTGACAGAAGCCTTGCAAATCCCACAACTTCCTTTGCCTAAGTATGCACCTTGGAGCAACAGCATCGCCGGAGCTTCTACAAGTTCTCATAAGTTTCCTTAAGACCCTAAACCCCTCAACCTAAAACCCAAAACTCCTTGGCATACGGTACACTAGGGGCCGAAATAATTACCTGTACTATTTTGGAGGGTTCCTTTTTATAATAATAGTATCATCGGCCCAAAACCCTAGTCTAATTATTCAGGCCCCTATATGATGGTAGTGCCGTGTCAAAGTTCCGAGTCCCTGGCATGGCAGAGCCTGGCTGCAAGTAGTCAGTAGTCCCTCGGTGTGAAGCCGTAATAAGCCTTGGGGCCAGCCTTTATACTGTATAGACCTTACTTTTGACTTGAGCTTTATAGGGGTTGAGGAATGGTTTATGGTTCCAGGGTAGGGTTTAGTGCCCGAAGCAGCTCAAGCATAAGGCTTACCATCTGGGCTCCTGAATCCAAAGTCTTGCACGAAGATGCCCTAAACCCTAAACCCCTAAGCCCTAAACCCTAAGCCCTCTAATTGGTGAAAGCGGGCTGAACAGAACTAGCTAAGGCGCCCCGAACGAACGCCCCAAGCAGTGGGACCCTAATACAGGGGCCTAAAGAATGACCAATACTATTTTTTTGGGGGGTTCCTCACTATATATAATTGTATTACGACATATCCCAAAACCCTGTTCTAATCATTAAGGCCCCATATTAACACAGACCCCTTGCAATTGTTTTGGAGCCCCACAGCCCCCACAGTCCATCCCAGGACGGCTGCGCCAAGCAGTCGCGCGTGGACGAGGCCTTGACGTTGCTGGAGGAGATGAAGACGCAGGGTGTCGGGGCCCCTGTAGCTTTGCTGGCTCCTAGGATCCGAAAATTTCGGATGTTGGAGTCTTAGCTCTTAGGAGTTGAGGGTAGAGGATGTAATTAGGAGTTTAGGCTTGTTTTTGGAGTTCAGGGCTTAAGCTTTAGAGTTCGGGGAGCAGTGATGGCTTGTGGCGAGGATGGCCTACTCTTGGGCTCTTCTCTTCGCGTATATTAGGCTTTGGCAATTGAAAGGTGCAGTTGATAAGCTGAAACGGTTTAGGGTTTTAGGATAGCTCCTGTGGGGTCTCGGTTAGCCTTCAGGGTCCTGTGTTGCTCTTCCGTTTTTTTCCGCAGGGGTCCACTAGCCCTGCTGTCGGCGTTTGTTGTTGGCTTCTCCGAAGCTTCCTGCCGGTTTTCAGAAGACTGCAATTGGCAAATCTTGTGCGATGAGACCCCGAAGTCTAACTTCGGAGTACCACCGCTACAGCTACTGTAGGGGCCTTATATAATAATTAGAATAGGGTTTTGGGGGCTCCTGATTATGATTTTCGTATAACATACCCCCAAACCCTGTTCTAATGATTAAGGCCCCTTTAATACCATATGCCACTACGAGCATCACCAGCAGCAGCAGCAGAAAGAGCAACAGCAGCAGCACCGCCTCCACGACACTCACCGCTGACAACATTCCAGTGATGACGAAGGTCGTGCCCTCGAACTACACGCTGAGCATCCTGTGCAAACTGCTGGGTCGCGCCAGGCTGTTGGCAGAATTACTTCCGACACTTACAAGCTTGACATTTCGGGGTCAAGGTCTGGGCAAGGATCGGTGAGGATTTAGAATCGAGGGTTGAGGCTTCTCGGCTCGAACTTCTAATTACGGGACACCCATCAAGGTAATGTGAACATGATGGATCACGCGGAGGTTATCCTTGCATATGGTGTTCCGGATCAGGAATGGGCATGGTCTGTCCCTGCTGTGCTTGTGATGACGATGACGATGATGATGTTGCTGCTGCTGCTGCTGCTGCTGCTGCTGCTGCTGCTGCTGCTGCTGCTGCTAGCAATGCAGGTGAGGGTGATGATCGTGGTTTGCATGTGTCGGTTGTTTAAACCGGTGCGGAATTAAGTATGGGAGACTAAGTTTTTCTCGAAGCTTGGATGTTTACTTTGAGGGTTCGCAAGATCTGTTCTTGTTACGCGGCGATGAGAGAAAAGACCACTTGGTGAAACCATTGCCTGAGGTAGTCTTGTTGTGGCAGGCTTCATGGGGAATTTCGTCGCCGTCGATCGTTTGTGTTGTTTGGCGTTCCTCGCAGCCACCACAGTCTGGCTGTGCATCTTGCCAATCTCGACAGTGGCATAGCGAGTAATTAACCCTAACCCTCCAGGTACCTTCTATATAGGGCCCTAGGGGCTCTATTACCCTGTATAGTACCCTAAACCCTAAACCCTAAACCCCTAAACCCTAAACCCTAAACCCTAAGTAGGTACCTGGGGAGTTAGGGTAAACTGTTACACAACGCAGAGTTCTTATGGTTTAGCCTTCGAGTGGAACTTGCAGGCTCCTGAACGCATCCTGCCGCCATGGGTGCAAGTTAGGTTTAGGGTTTAGGGTTTAGGGTTTAGGGTTTAGGGTTTAGGAAGTTATAGTAATGAGGAAGACTCCAACGTGGAGGTACTGTAACTCCTTGGACGCAAAGAGGCAGTCCCCTTGCTGCTGCTGAGACTCCTACATCATCGACACGGCCGTCGACGATGTAGGCGTCTCCGCAGCGGACTTCTGTCCTCCATCAGCTGCCTCTTCCTACTGCGGCCTATAGCATGGAGACATCTCCTGGAGTAAGACGAAGATTCCAAGAGATGCCCCCGTGGTCTGCGTGCCATCGATGCTTCCTGCCGGCTCGGTTTCGTCCCTGTGGCGAGAGCCTATCGCCCTGGCTCATGCAGCCATCCTGTGCCAGCAATGCCGCCGTTCTCCCGAAGCCAGCGGATGCAACAAGAGGTCTGGATGCAGAGCGTGGTCAGAAATCAGACAGGCAGCCGATGCGGCAAAGCTACTGCAGGCCATGAAGAAGCAGCTTATACAGGAAGAAGGCTTAAGAAGGCTGGATGCCGCCCAGCCGGAACGCTCCGTGCAGCCGCTGTGCTTCCAAGAACTGAGACCCACTGCGGCTCTGCTTGAGTGGGCTTATAAGTAAGGTAACTATAGTTATAACTCATTTTAGGGGACTTCTAACCCCACTTATTAGAACTACCCATGAACCTCCAGGTAGGAAGTGCCGCCACCACACAGCAGAGGGCCCGGCAACGCTGCGAAAGTTGCAGCTGGAATCTCATCTAGGCCCTAGCGAACATTGATCCCCTTAATTGTAGTTCAAGACTTTAAGGATACTGTATATTCCTCATTAAGGGGTATTGGGCTCTTTAGGATCCTCTGGCCTGAGTTCGAGCTGTCTTTGAGTACGTCTAGGTGCCTACATTACCGAGGTTCTATTCATGTTCCTTGTTTTCATAGTGTAGTCTGCTCCGCAACCCCATTCTAATCATTGTACCAGGGCCCCTTGAATACGTCTAGGAGAGCTGGGAAACGCACTTTCGTCTATCTGCGTGATCCATCCACTTTGTGTGACTGGCCTAAGATGGCCTATGTACTCAGGGCCGCGGAAATTTGCCGTGACCGGTGACGAAGAGCTGCCAAAATCTGCTCTTGACTCAAGATGGCGGAACTCTGCAGTCAAACAAATAAGTTTGTCGGCATGCGCAGAATATGTTGGCAGGGTCCTTTGAAAGAACTTAAACATAAGCTAAGGCAACAATCGGGGTTTGTGGTAGTCGTGAGGTTTGAGGGCCGCCCTGCATTTTTCAGGCCTTTCGGGACTCCCAGGGATGGATTCACGAGAAAGATCAACGGGTAGCCAAGTACCCCTCCTTGGGTCCGCTTTAGGTTTGAGATTCTAGGGATTATAGTAGAAGCCCAAAAGTTGGAAACCCGATAGCCTCGATCCTCCAGAGTAATGTATATGGAATCCCAGCACTATTTGTCCTTAATCCGGTTTCCAACTTTTGGGGGTTTACTATAGGGTTTAGGGTTTAGGGTTTAAAGGATCTTGAGGTGTGTTGCCCACGTAGGGTTTTAGGGTGTAGGAATCTCAGATTCGCGGGTGCAAAGAGCTGCTATAGGGGCCTAACTAATTACCTCTTGTATTTTGGGGTTCCTTCTGGTAATTATAGCATAAGGGTGCCCCGCAGCCCTATTTTGACTATTAAGGCCCTTACACTACCTGGTTTCAGGCTCACGGTTTTGAGGCTTGGTTTGCAAGTTGCACCAAGCCCAACCCTGACAGTCTTAAACCATGGCCGCCTGAGTGGTGACATCATCCAGCACTTGAACACATGTAGGGGCCTCACTAATTACCAATACTATTTTGGGGGTCCTTTATTATAAGTCTACTATAATGGGCCCCAGAACCTTATTCGAACTATTAAGGCCCTAGACTAGTTCCCTTAGCCCTATGTGTCCTCAGGCGCCTGGATCAGGCTTTCAACATGGTGCAGAGCTTCACGCAGGACGGGACTTGGGGTTGACCTAAACCCCCAAAAGTAGGTAACATATTGGCCCAATATCTATAAACCCTAAACCCTGAACCCTAAACTCTATAAGCCCTAAACGGCTATTATTCTACATGTTTTTAGGGTCCAGGTAGGGTTTTGTGCTGAAAGGGGCTCAGATCCCCTGGTGATTCGCTGGGCTGGAATCAAGGTTTGGAGTACTATAGGGTTCTAAATAATTGCCAAGACTACTTTGGGGATTCCTTATTATTATAAGTGTAGTATCGGTTATACCCCAAAACCATATTTTAATTATTACGGCCCCTCTATATTTATTCTGAAGCGCTGCTTTCACAACTACAGAACGCCAGGTTGGCGTAGGTGAAGGTTGGGTCCATGGTCGTGAAGGCACGATCGAGCCCAAACCGAAAAGCTCCAGGGAAGCCGTTCATTTGCCTTTGTCGTCGGTTTCAGTTTCCCGGACCTCATGACTTCAATGGGCGTTTGGAACTTCTTTGTTGATGGGGGGGGCTTGCTGCGTAAGGTTGTAGAGTTCCAGGTTTGGTTTGTGTTGTTACACGGCTTACGTCTTCGGGTCATACAGCGATCTGCTCTTAGCAGTGTCCGTTTCTTTCTGGCATGAACACTAAAGTCACTGAAGGTCACTAACATGGCAGACGGAAAAGAGCCAGCAAAAAGGAAGAACCCCAAGCCCTCACAGCCGGAACCCAATTTCCTGGTTTTGTCTAGCGTTTGGGGCCCATGAAGCCTTGCAGCATGTGGAGAATCAGACCTAGTACGGAGAATACATAGGCTCATCGTAAAAAAAGCTCCAGTCACAGTACGAAGTATCAAGAATGCCTAAACCCTAAAGCCAAGAATCTCAACCGCGATTTGCTGGCAACTCCCTATCATCTGATACTGGAAACAGCGAGAGGAGTACGGCTTCAAAGCCAACATCCAGGCACTGCGCGATTTTTGCTAGTTGATACTTTGGGCGTACGGGCTTGCACACTAATTCCGCACCTGCAAAGGCCCCCGACTCTAAAACCATAGATCCCACACCTAAATCCGAAGAGCGCTATGGTTTGCTATGCAAGGCAATCCGACTGCTTCCATTCAGGGCTTTAAGGCCACTCTGTCAAAAAAGGGGGGACGTACCCATGGCAAGAAGCCAGGTGTAGGGTCTCAGGGTTTCGAGGTTTGTGTTATTTTAGTGGGTTTCGGGTTTATCAAGGACCGTAAAATGGCGCTCGTTTTGGTGACGACTTGGCATTTAACCTTGGCAGAAGTAGATGAGCCCTTGACCCCACACGCACAAGCCGCTCAAAAGGCCAAGCCCTAAACCCCTAAACCCCTAAACCCCAAACCCAAACCCCTCAACCCCTGAACCCCTAAGCCCTGAACCCTAAACCCTGAACCCTAAACCCCTAACCCCTAATTCCTAAGCCACAAGTCCACAACCATCCTCAAGTCTCTAAAACCCTACTGAGAGTACCAAAGGAAGTAGCAAGTAATGCAGGGGCAATCGGGGCCTCAGTACTTGAATAGTTTTGGGTTTAGGGTTTAGTACGTCTTGGAATAGTTTTGGGGGTACAAAATATGCTAAAGTATTGAGGTTATAACTAAGGAAAGCCAAGGAATATATAAGATTGGTAATTGTTTAGGCTTCTATATTTGGGATATAAGCAATGTAGCCACCGTCAAGTTTGATCATAGCTCCAGGCAAGGATTGTAACCAATATCCTACAGAAGCCTCAAGAATTGCCAACATTATTCCCCAGAGTACCTTATTATAGTTTGGTTCATACTACACGCAAGCCCCGAAAGCCCATTCTAATCATGAGAGCCCTCATATGACTTGCAAAGTCAGCCGATCAAGTGGGTGATTCGATCAAGTGATTGCCTGGCCAGGTCTATACGTGCTTGATGCAGGCCTGCATCCACAACCGCCAGTGCCACCGCGTGCTGTCCCTGCACGACCAGGCGCGGAGAGGGGAGGTCTAAAATTGGGGCTTGAATAATTCGCATGATGATTCCTATGGGTTCCTCATATATCTGCACCATGCTACAAAGCTAGAGTATATTGTGGCAAGAAAATTGACTGATTTTATTAAGAACCCTAGACCCTAAACCCTAGACCGCCTGTGTTTCGGGCTTCGGCGGCTTCATGGGGCTACGGGGTTCAGGAGTTTCTGGGTTTTCAGG